CTGAGCAATCTGATCTAGATAGCAGTGTCCCTGCTCACTGCAGGGGGGTTGGACTAGATGACCACTAGTGGTCCCTTCCAACCCTAAACATTCTATGATTCTATGACTTCATCCAGGCAGGCTTTGAATATCTCCAGAGAAGAAGATTCCACAACCTCCCTGCGTAGCCTGTTCCAGTGCTCTGTCACCCTCAGAGTAAAGAAGTTTTTCCTCATATTCAACTGAAACCTCTTATGTTTCAGTTTGTGCCCATTGCCCCGTGTCCTGTCGCTGGGCACCACTGCAAAGAGTCTGGCTCCGTCCTCGTGACTTCCATCCTTAAGATATTTGTATGTATTGATGAGGTCCCCTCTCAGTCTCCTCTTCTTCAGGCTGAACAAGCCCAGCTCTCAGCCTTTCGTCATTATCAGTTGCAAATATTGATAATGTAATGCTGAAATAGAGTAGTAGTAAATTATAATATTTTAGACAAAATACCATAACAGAACCAAGAGCAGTTTTATTGAGGTATGGACAGGAAATTCAGAACCACTGCTTTCCAGGATGTCACAGTTGTAAGAGATCAAAGGCCAAACGGCTAAACAAACTGAACAAATAACCGAATGAGCTCACAGGGCAGCGATACGACAGCACAGGCTGTTACCTTTGGGTGAATAAAAGTGGAGAGATCTAAGGAAGAGAATGAGATGTGAGGAAAAGTGTTCGGTTTTTACCTGTGGATATAGCACTGGAGTGTTTGATACTGGAATACATACAGTGTGTGTGCATGTGCTCTCTCTCTCATTTTTATATCCAATTATACAATTACATTTTACATATGTATATATAAAGGTGTTTTAAAAAATGAGACTAATTTTCAGAAATACATTGAATAAATCTTGTTCCTGAATTTTATTTCAGAACAGCCATCACAGCAACAGATTTTTTCACTGAATACTTGCACGTTCACACCACTTGCAGCCAGCTGTAGCCCATTTTTCAGTGTAAATTTTTACAATTTAAATACAATAAATATATCAGCATTCAAAATGAATCCTAAAACTGTCACCTTGCTAAAAGCTGGTACCTCCTGCAAGCAAGAAAGGAGTTTGGAATCAATTTCAACATTATTTGACATCATCTTTCAGTGGGAATGGAAAAGACCAACCAAAGTGACTTGCTGGAGAAATGCCGTAGATGACTAGGTTGCATAAAATTGCCTGCCTTAAGTAATTTGGTATGATTTCTTCTCTCCAGGATTTCAAAACCTATGTGGATCAAGCTTGCAGGGCTGCAGATGAATTTGTCAACATCTATTATGAGACCATGGATAAAAGAAGAAGGGTAATTAGATATTTTGACAGTAGTTAGAACTGTCTTGTGCATTTTTTGCTTGCTTTTCTAACTAGCATTACACTTGAAAGCACCTGAAGGTTGGTTACCATGCATTGTGCTGGCCAGGGGGAGACCTCTGTTCCTCTTAGACTGCCCTGTAGGGGATTCTTTATGTTACTGTGCAGCGTTGTAAAAGGGCCCCTTTTAGAAAGTGCCTTAGGCTTCCTCATGATAATTGTTCAGTTTGTCTCCAGCTGTATTTTACAGGTACAGGATTTGGGCAGTACAGGCAGGTGAAATTTGCTTTGTTTGTCTCGGAGGTCAGGATTTAGCTTTTTTTTTTTTTTTCCGAAACTTCTTTTATTAGCAGTTATCACTTGTTTTGGGAAGTCCTCAGGAGTGCCTGCGGCTAAAGTGGAAACAGCTCTGTCTGGCTCTGAAAGTCTTCATGGACCACACTGATGTGGTACCATGTAATGGATATTTGCACCAAAAGAGAGCTGTGGAGATCATTCTTTGGAATTTTAAATGTATTATAATTGTAATTTAATAACTTTTCGATTATGTGAAAATACCAGCAGGTGCATGTAACTTTGTAGTCACTTTGTGCATAAGTAGGCTAGGCAGAGATTATCAACAGCGTGAAGGAGAGTTAGGCACCCACACAACTGTTACAGCTTCTGAAATGTTTGGGAAGTTCTGGTCTGCTGCTGCAGGTAACTGTCCTTTTTAAGTTTCCACTGTTTCTGGTCTTGTTCGCTTTTTTTTTTTTAATAACCTGAAATTACAGTTTCCTGACATCATCTGTGTTGGGTGCACACGCGCCCCACAAAAAAATACCAGCGATAAACTTACTCTGGAAAGGTAGCACTATCCTTTTCTTAGCAACTAGTTCAGTTCTATCAATAGTTTTGTTAACGTTATCTCATTGGTATTTAAATTTGGAGGCGTATGAGTCACTATGTAACTTACAAAGCAGAATATGTTTCAGTTAACTTTAATTCTTGGTCAGGACCACTAATTGTTAAAAGGAGCTAGTATTTCAGGAGGGCATTTTATCTATTGGAGTAACAGAAGAAGTCAATAATTCACAACATAAGGATCCAAAGAATATTTTATATGTTGTCCGTTGTATGTGTTTATGCATTTTCCCTAAATATATATTTTCATAATCACTCAGGCTTTAACAAGACTTTATTTGGACAAAGCAACGTTAGTTTGGAATGGTAATGCAGTGTCCGGCCAAGAAGAACTGAATAAATTTTTTGAAATGTTGCCATCTAGTGAATTCCAGGTTAATATGTTGGACTGCCAGCCTGTTCACGGTAAGGCTGTATTACAATTTACTTGTTTATTTTTCAGTCTTTTTCTAACTGTTGAAAGTGAACTGCAAGTATGATGGTGCTCAATAGTTCTTTTGGAACAAGCTTAGAGAAAATACTGAGGGTTGAAATGTCAAGTTGTGCATAAATGAAGCACAAATCAAGAGATGCAGCAACTCCACACTTTTCCTCATGTCTGGGAAAATATTTTAAGGACTTTTTTTGTTCAGATCACATTCAGACGTGATGTATTTTCATGTATTGAAAAGGTCTAGCTTATCAGGTTATGTTGTCTACAATGTCTAAGAGCCAAAGAGACCTCTGCTGTAGCCTCTGATACTGACCTGCAGTGTAACGAGGAACAGATGATTACCCTGTATGTACTTTGATTTCTTTACATCTAGAATAGATGTTAAGTTCTTAAGATTTCTAATGAACAAGTACGAAAGAAAGGCTTACATAATTGAGAAGTTAATAAATGACTCCTAATGGATATTTTGGGAATGTAAGTAAGGAAAAAGCCTGTGGTCAAGAACACTTGCTTTGCTGTGAAAAAGGTATAATCTCTAATTGTGGGGAAAAAAGTGTATGCAACTTGCTAAATATAAATATACACATATATCTCAAATAATGAGAGCTTATTCTAAGCAAAACCTCAGCGTGTTTGTTATAGTGCTCTAAAATGAATGACATGAGATGAAAATAGAAAAGCCACTAAAAAGCAGTGTTGATGAGCGAAGACACCATTGTCTGTATAGAAATGATGCAACAAAACTGTACTTTCAATGACTGTGTAACTGATTGTTAGCCTATTAGTAGTATAACCAGAATTGAATGAAAGTTCTGTGTACACTTCCTACTACTTTACCAGTTAGTCTTTGTTTGAGTTGTTTTCTTTAAACTTTTCTCCTTGTGAAGAGCAAGCTACTCAAGGCCAGACAACAGTCCTCGTGGTGACAAGCGGGACAGTAAAATTTGATGGTGACAAGCAACGCTACTTCAATCAGAACTTCTTGCTGACAGCACAAGCCACACCTACCAACACAGTGTGGAAGATCGCCAGTGACTGTTTCCGCTTTCAGGACTGGGCCAGTTAGCAAGGATCGGCTGCGGGAAGTGACCTCTCTCATTCGACAAGTTGAAGTTAGCTGTAGAGACAGCCGTTCCCCACGCCTGGGAAATGCTCACTCTGTGTTTGCAGCTGTCATTATGGAAGGTCTACAGATGTTTCGGGGTTGATCCCAATGACCATGGGTTTAGTGGTAGGAAACAATCTTAAAATGTGAGAGGTTGCTCATGTTAATTGAACCTAATAAAATGCTGAAGGCAGTGAGCTGTGTTGGAATCATTCCTAAAATGCCTTACGTGCAGCTATGCACTTCCAGACTTCTTGTATGTAATGCTGAAACTCTACTATTTGAACACAAAATCTTCTTAATGTACAATTCTGACCAAACGTGTAATTTTTCCAACTTGAAACGATCTGTTTTTACAGTAGCATCTTCCCTCTTTAGAAGAAGATGCTTGTGGCATGTAGATAGAATTCTAAAAGCTACCTACTCTTGGTTGTAAGAGGCTAGGAAGGATTGACAATGATTTCTACTGTTTGTGAAAGTAGCAAATATAGCTCCTGAGTGTGTAGTCTTTCAAATAATCCATTGGAGAGCTAGCGTTACCTTCTCTGATACGAAAGGACTAAATAATCTCATCAGGTTTCCTTTTGGCTTAAGCTTCTCAGACACTGGTTGTAGTTAATTTACACTGATTCGTATGTAGGGCATGCTGAATGATTCAGAGCTCCTATGCCAACAGCTCTGTCACATGCATGTGAAGGACTTCAAACTGATTATTTTTCTTTTGAAGTCCTACAGTGTAAGAAATGTTATGTCATTGCTGTTTGCTTTAACTGTTAATTCTGTTGCTATGAAGTTTGGACTATTTTTCCCATATTCAATCTGCAAGTTTTGAATCCCTGCTGTCTTTTCAGGATCGTTGTAAAAGAAGTGGCACTGAAAGTGTGTATTACTGTGAAGCCTTCAATTTTTCTCTTCAGTACTGTTATTCAGAACAGGTGCTTTGATTATTTTCAACTTGGAACAGCTCCGAACACAAATACCATCTTCCTCATGCAGATTTTTACTGTAGTTTTCATGTTGTCTTTAAATATTACCTTTAATTACTGATTCTGGCTTTTTTGTGTGCCTTCCTTTAAATTTGCAGTTTAAAGCTTTCAGCTACTTTAAAACGGTTTTCAAGGCTACAGGTTAAGGCTGTACATCTTAACTCAGGAACTTAAGAGTAAATCTGAGTATCAACAGATTTGTTTCAAACTGGCACATTCCTATTTTAAGCCGAGTAAAAAAAAAAAAAAAATCAAAAAGTTAGCTATTTAAGTGCGAGTACTCTTGCTTGTAACTGATCTTAATACATGTTGCAATGACAGCAGCAACCTGAACACAAAAGCAGTTACGACTGCAGCTCACTTGTTTTTATGACTTAAGTCAGGGAGACTGTGAAAATGAGCAGTATCTAACTTGTGTAAAACATCTGTAGTTTGTGATATAATCCCACAAATGACAGGATGTTTAGGTGAAATGGGTGGGTTTATTTCCTTTTAAGGCACTCTAGTCTTTACATCAGTAACTTAGAATGAGTAACCTGTCTCTGTTCAGAAGCTGGTTTATGTTGTGAACTATTGTGTAACTATTTTCCAGCCTGAAGAATACGAATTCCTACAAAACAATGCAGGAAATCCAGAATTTTGGAAAACTGTAAATACTGTAAATACATTGTTATTTCTGTATGTAGTGAAGAAAGGATCCCTCTATTTAATTACTGTTTGTTCTTAACAGAATATGCGAGGTTCATATATTTGTATGATCTCATTTCTACAAGTTTGAAAAGAAAACCCTAAGTTTGCCTGTTACTGATACAGCATTGTTGAACTGTGACACTGGTATGGTGTGCTTTGCTTTTTCTTTTTTATAATTTGCTGTTGATTGTGTAAGTAGCGTTACAGATCCGTTTTGCACATGCAGAACAGGTTTTGACTTTTGAAATGCAGTGATGGGTGCAGCTGTAGCATTTGTTTGTTGAATTCTAAGGCAGTCACCAGAACACGCACTTGTATCTGTACCTGATAAGTACATTGGCTTGGGAATAAGTACTTACTGGGTATTTTTATTCAAGTTTTAATTTGTATAGTTTTTAAGCTTTTTCTAGTCAGACTGGGAGATCTAGAGTATATGACACAATCTTTCAGTCAAATGTTTTTCTCAATTTTCATGCTATTCAAATGCAGGCTGCTCTTAAATCCAACTTCTGCCATTAATATTAAAAAACCCAAACAAATAAAAAAAGCCACCGCTACCTGGAACATTACTTAGGAAGCTACTAGCCGGCCTAGCTGGACAAACCCAGCTTAAACTCTTAGTAAGATGTGTAGTTGGAATTGGACTTGGTGTGCATGCAGGGGGTTTTTGGAGAGAAATGTAGTAGAACGTAAATGCTCCAGCCTGGGGAGAAGTGCCAGTTCCGTACTGCCTATTTCCATCATCTTCCAGGAGGCTCACTTAGGGTGATTCCCTACTACCGTGATTACCTGTTGCTCTTTGTAACTGAAAATGCTGCTTTACAAAATATTTTTATGGAGCGTACCAAGTGATAATGTAGCTATTAGATTAAATCAATTTTAAAACTGAGTGATTAATGGCACAAACAAAAAATCTCTTCAGTCCTAGCTAGCTGGAGAAGTTAAGGATGCTGCAGCTCTGTGCTGCTTGTTAAAACTTCTGTGCTGAAATTAGCAGAAGAGAACATGCAAATGCTTTTTATTCTGTTCAGTACACAACCATCGGGCTGGTTTAGCTTTCCCCATTGCTCACTCTGCTGTAATATCTGAAATTTACAACAGGCATCTATAAAGTGAACAAGTTTATGCTCTGAACTGCAAACAGGAGTTAATACTACCGCTTTTTGCTCTTAGTTACTCATGTACAACTGGTCAGTGAAACAAAGCCCGCTGAAGAGCTAAGCACTTCCACAAACTAAATTGTGGCTACTGATCTTCCCTTTTTGTATACGCCCTGTATCATCTTTATCAGTCACTGCTTTTATGCTGCTTTGTTCTTTTGGCATACTACAGGTAAATTGACTTAAAATATTTGGGCTGTTTCTTGGAATGAAGAAAAGTGATTTGTTCTGGTGGTATGAATGATTTGTTCTGATGGTTTTGATACGCATACGCTTCTTCATCCTGGTTGGAGAAAAGCACATCATAAAGAAATGCTGTTTTATCAGTGAAGTAACTTGCCACACTTGAATATATTTTGTAAGTTTCTGAAATTGTTTAAGACCTCTTGTAAGATTAATTTTTTAAAAGATAAAAATCAAAAACCTACCTGATGTTCTGCTTTTTTTTTTTATTATTAGAAGTTTTCATAGTTTGTTCTTACGATATTAAAAGTGCAAGAAATAATTTGCGGCTTCCTTATCTTTACTGCTTGTGTTCCAAGTATGAGTTACGTGTTCTGATTGTTGCAGGATGGTGCTGGGGCACTGCAGCACAGGCTGGCTGTGAGCTCTTTGTCAATGCTGTGGTAAAAAAAAAATGTGTCTGGAGTAATAACCCTATAGCGACTGCCTTACCAAGAACACCGTCAGGCAGTAAACAGTGTTGACCTGGCTAGAGTAACAACCTCAAACTGACATTTCCCTCTAAAATTTACTGAAGTTTAGACTGCTGTCCAGCAAATCCGTGGATGAAGTCAACCAAAACTTGTGCCAGATCCTTGGATTGTAAATATTTTCACTGAGAACATGTTGTTGTGCCTCTGCTCTTTTTCTGCTAAGATGAAATGAAACACTCAAATAAGGAACGGTTCGTGTGGTAACTCTGATGATTTATTCACTTTATTTTGCTGTTTAAAACATCAAATTACTAACGAACACTTACACAGTGTAGATAGCAGCTTTTATTTGCTGGCAATGAAAAGATGGGGATGCTAATGCCAGGTCAACTTTTGTGTGGAAACAGACATTGTTCTAGAAACAATTAACGCCAAATATATTGTAAAGTCCTTGCTGTGTTTGAAGGTGCCGATTTCAGTGAGGCTTTGCAAGCAGTCACTTTCTGTAATCACCCTGAGCAAGGCTCTGACAGCTGATGCAGCGTAAAGGTTTAGGAGTGCTGGGAAAAATGTCACTTCCGGGGCCAAACCAGAAGGTATTCTTGGCATTTATGTTGAAAGTGAATCCAGAAATTGCTCTTTCAGTATTCCCCCTGGGCTGAAGAAAAGAACAGTAGAGAGAAGGATGTTGTGGGGAACCATGTCAAAGGCCTTACAGAAGTCCAGATAGATAGATGACATCCATAGCTCTTCCCATCTCCACTGCTGTAGCTGCTCCATCAAAGAAGGCCACTTGGTTGGTCAGGCAGGACTTGCCCTTGGTGGAGCCATGCTGGCTGTCTCGAATCACCTCCCTGTCCTCCATGTGCCTTAGCACAGCTTCTAGGACCTGTTCCATGATCTTCCCAGGCACAGAGGTGAGGCTGACAGGTCGGTAGATCCCAGGCTCCTCCTTTCTAGCCTTAATAAAAATGGATGCAATGTTTCCCTTTTTCCGTTCTCAAGGGACTTTACCTGACTGACATGACTTTTCAAATATCATGGAGCAAAACCTGAGCTTCCCTTGCAGTGGGAGGGACTTTGCTCCCCCAGTCCCTTCCTCATGATCCATCCGCTTGAGAGGTGGAGGAAGAGAGGCTGCCAGTGAAGGTGGAGGCAAAAACTTGTTGAGTATCTCAGCCTTCTCGTTGCCCATTGTTACCAGTTTGCCAGTCTTGCCCATGGCGGGGGGACGCTCTCTTTGACCTCCCTTTTCTGGCTGACGTACCTGTTGAAGCCCTTCTTACTATTCTTTGCATCCCTTGCCAAGTTCAGCTCCATCCATGCCTTGGCTTTCCTGACCCCATCCCTACACAACCAGGTAGCGTCCCTATACAGAATTCTGGAAAATTACCTACTAAAGACACCACAAATATTAGAAGTGTGTGAATAAACACATATATATAGCCAACTGCACTTGTATATTTAACTATTTGTAGATGCATATTGTATTTAAGCCTATCTGTATGTATGCTGTAGATCTCATTGCAGTGTAAGGTACAGTTAATGCATGATGGTGTAATCTTATTTAAACATCTGGTTGAACTGTAACTATAAGAATAGATGTAAATCCCAAATTACTACAGTTCACCGAGACCTTGTGATTCTTTCGGGTATCGAAAGGTACAGATAGAACAGCAGATAATTAGAATTAGATGTTTTGTTAGTTACTTGGCAGGAGGTCTTGTGCTTTCCTTATTTGTGAACTGTGTAATGACGGGTAAACTTTTTGACAAGGGCAGCCCTTTTGTTTTTTTAGGTAGGACCCAGATACAGTATGTTGCACATAGGTTGCATTTTGGGGGGGACGGGGAAGAGAAACGGATGTATTATGAAGATACGTAATCAGTGGGGTTTGTTGGACCTTTCAGGTTTGTCTATAGGATGAAGCAGTGAAAAGCAGTTAGTAACCAGCTGATATTAAATCAAACATGTTAAGCACAGATTTTAATGTCCAGTGCATTGAAGCTTTGATGTGGGCAAATCTTTCACACTCGGAAAACTCTAATAGTCCTGCCCCTATTCTCATCTAATCTAGCTGAGTGCAGCGGTAGCAGGCAGTTAGCACTGCAGTTCCCCCACACTTTCTAAGCTGTTAGTCTGTAATGCCTCTAAGACGCCAGAGTCCTGCTGATGGGCAGTGGTCAGGCTGAAAAAGAGACGTTAAATCACTGAGATAGGCTAAAAAAATATTTTAGATAGGCATAATGACTCCCTCTTTCTTATAGGGGGAAACGTGAGTTGTGGTCAGCTTAACTCTGTACTGGAGGAAATCCTCACAGAAGATCTTCTAGTGGGGCTGATACAGTGGTTTAGTTATCCCAGTGTGAAAGTTCGTTAGACAGACAGCTTCTGCAGCTCAAAATATGTATGTGTGTTTGTGTATATATTGCTTATGGCTCTTCAGGAAGTCCAGGCTGAAGATGAAAAGTTGAAAATTCCAGAGATACTGTCCGAATCCTTGCAGATGGAGGTAGCTGACTAAAACTTTTACTGTTGTCTGACTACCTGACAGGGGATTTTAAGAATATTGGCAGTTTGTTGGTTTCTCTGACACCCTTTTTTCCACACGATGCCGACTACGACGTGCTTTGCCGAGCTGAAGATCTCACATACATCTCCTGACAGAATGCTGGCATATACTACTATTGCATGTGCTCCCGTTGAAATTGTTTCTGGAGCTTGGATTTTTTCTCCACCCCATACTGTTCCATTATTAGA